CACCAGGACCACCACCACCACCACCACCACCACCAGGACCACCACCACCATGACCACCACCACCACCAGGACCACCAGGACCACCACCACCAGGACCACCAGGACCACCACCACCAGGACCACCACCACCAGGACCACCACCACCACCAGGACCACCACCACCACCAGGACCACCACCACCAGGACCACCACCACCAGGACCACCACCACCACCAGGACCACCACCACCACCAGGACCACCACCACCACCCGGACCACCACCATCAGGACGACCAGGACCACCAGGACCACCACCACCAGGACCACCACCAGGACCACCAGGACCACCACCAACTGGACCAACTTGACCATCAGGACCACCACCACCAGGACCACCAGGACCACCAGCACCAGGACCACCACCACCACCAGGACCACCACCATCAGGACCACCACCACCAAGGCCACCAGGACCACCACCAACTGGACCAACTTGACCATCAGGACCATCACCACCAGGACCACCAGGACCACCACCACCAGGACCACCACCACCAGGACCACCACCAACTGGACCAACTTGACCATCAGGACCATCACCACCAGGACCACCAGGACCACCACCACCAGAACCACCACCACCAGGACCACCACCACCAGGACCACCACCACCACCAGGACCACCACCATCAGGACCACCACCACCAGGACCACCAGGACCACCACCACCACCACCAGGACCACCACCACCAGGACCACCACCACCAGGACCACCACCACCACCAGGACCACCACCACCACCAGGACCACCACCACCACCAGGACCACCACCACCACCAGGACCACCACCACCACCAGGACCACCACCAACTGGACCACCCTGACCATCAGGACAACCCAGTGGGGTGCTCATTGGGTCCTAATACCACTCAGCTCTTGGTGCCCTGCTTTACCCTACACTACTATATAAATAACTATTAGTAATAAAACAGATAGTGTTAGTTGCCTCACAAGTTAAAGACAGTTACAAGTACTATGGACGTTTCGACCCAAGGGTCTTTAACTTGTGAGGCAACTAACACTATCTGTTTTATCACAAATTGCTTTAACCTCACTGCAGCTACCATTTGTTTTTATTTGAAATAACTAAAGAAAAGCATGGGTCTCTTTCTTCCTAAGCTTTGAGGCTTAAAGGTATCCAATAGATGGTGGCCGGAAAGAACCGCAACGGAAAAAAGCGCAACGGAAAAAAGCGCAAAACAAAAAGCGCAACGGAAATAAGCGCACACGGAAAAAAGCGCAAAGAGAAAAAAGCGCACACAGAAAAAAGCGCAAAGAGAAAAAAGCGCAAACGGAAAAAAGCACAAAGAGAAAAAAGCGCACACAGAAAAAAGCGCAAACAGAAAAAAGCGCAAACGGAAAAAAGCGCAAACAGAAAAAAGCGCACACGGAAAAAAGCGCAAACGGAAAAAAGCGCAAACGGAAAAAAGCGCAAACAGAAAAAAGCGCAAACGGAAAAAAGCGCAAACAGAAAAAAGCGCACACAGAAAAAAGCGCAAACAGAAAAAAGCGCAAACGGAAAAAAGCGCAAACGGAAAAAAGCGCACACAGAAAAAAGCGCAAACGGAAAAAAGCGCAAACAGAAACAGAAAATTGCGCAACTTGAAAAAACACAACGAAAAATGTGCAAAAGAGAAATTTAGCACAAAGACCATATGGACTAGATGACACATTTATACATGACTGTTAGGGCTGCTGTGAGAGTGTCGTGTTTGATCACGTGATCTACTACCATTTAAAGCGTACCACTACCATCTGCATTCCCATCACCACGATACAGGCGATAATCACTTTACACAATGCCTATTATTTTCTTGGTCAATAATTATTCAACTACTATTCTCGTATAAACATAAAACTATCGACATTACACGAAGTATCTTTCACATTCTCCCTAGTCCGAACTACCTAGCTTGCATACTATAACAACCCGTTCCTATGGCAAAACTTCACTCTCTTTCATCCGCGTCATCAAACATGCATTCGTCATATCTCTCGTAACAACATTCATTCGCACCAAAATAACAATTTTGTATTTAATATTTTTTCACATCATGACGCACCTACCTACCTACCTACTACCCACCTACCCACCTACCTACCTACCTACCTAACTACCCACCTACCCACTTACCCACTTACCCGCCTACATACTTACCAAACTACCCACCAAAAAAGTATCGGCGAAGTTCGTAAGTTTCGTAAACTGTACTAGACATCATTTTTTTAATGAAAATTCATTGACATCATTGACATTTGTTACATATATGTTACATTTTGCGACAACCTTAATTAGTGCGTTGGGCTTGTATGAAAACTCACTTCGAACTAACTCAATTACATGCTATTTATTTTAACATTTATAAACTTCATCTCTCTTTGTTTCTTTATAAAAAGGTTACGGAAGGTTTTTAAGGTATTTTACTGAAATGTTTACCGGACGAATGCAAAATGATATAAACAACCATAGCTCTTCTGTTATATAGGCTACATGCAGTGTTTCTTCCAGACTTCCCCCCCCCCCCCCTCAAACTGTCGATTGTACCCCCCCCCCTCAAACTTTCGATTTGCATATATATATATATATATATATATATATATATATATATATATATATATATATATATATATATATATATATATACCGAGGGGTCTATTGGGGGGGGGGGGGTTATGACCCCCCATAACCCCCCCCCCGCCTACGCCACTGCATATTAGTATTCGATAGATTTAGAGTAGCGTCCTTTTTGTTTACATGTTTTCATTACCCTTCAAACAAAAGTCTATTTTAGTTATATTGAGATTAAAGAATGTAAATAAATAGTATACACAATTCTGTAGAATAGGAACGATTGGGAGGGAAGTGACATTTAGCGCAGTAAATTTAGAGGTTAGGTAGGGTATAATAAATGGTGGGGTTAGGAAAGTTAAGGGGTCCATTCTCTAATAGGCAATCTATGTCTCTTTCGTACTTTCGTGTTGGTTTATTGTCGAACCTGTCCTCACCTTACATCACAACAGTTGGGTGACGCTTACCGTGTAATGTTAAAATAAATAGCATGTAATTGAGTTAGTTCGAAGTGAGTTTTCATACAAGCCCAACGCACTAATTAAGGTTGTCGCAAAATGTAACATATATGTAACAAATGTCAATGATGTCAATGAATTTTCATTAAAAAAATGATGTCTAGTACAGTTTACGAAACTTACGAACTTCGCCGATACTTTTTTGGTGGGTAGTTTGGTAAGTATGTAGGCGGGTAAGTGGGTAAGTGGGTAGGTGGGTAGTTAGGTAGGTAGGTAGGTAGGTGGGTAGGTGGGTAGTAGGTAGGTAGGTAGGTGCGTCATGATGTGAAAAAATATTAAATACAAAATTGTTATTTTGGTGCGAATGAATGTTGTTACGAGAGATATGACGAATGCATGTTTGATGACGCGGATGAAAGAGAGTGAAGTTTTGCCATAGGAACGGGTTGTTATAGTATGCAAGCTAGGTAGTTCGGACTAGGGAGAATGTGAAAGATACTTCGTGTAATGTCGATAGTTTTATGTTTATACGAGAATAGTAGTTGAATAATTATTGACCAAGAAAATAATAGGCATTGTGTAAAGTGATTATCGCCTGTATCGTGGTGATGGGAATGCAGATGGTAGTGGTACGCTTTAAATGGTAGTAGATCACGTGATCAAACACGACACTCTCACAGCAGCCCTAACAGTCATGTATAAATGTGTCATCTAGTCCATATGGTCTTTGTGCTAAATTTCTCTTTTGCACATTTTTCGTTGTGTTTTTTCAAGTTGCGCAATTTTCTGTTTCTGTTTGCGCTTTTTTTCCGTTTGCGCTTTTTTCTGTGTGCGCTTTTTTCCGTTTGCGCTTTTTTCCGTTTGCGCTTTTTTCTGTTTGCGCTTTTTTCTGTGTGCGCTTTTTTCCGTTTGCGCTTTTTTCCGTTTGCGCTTTTTTCCGTTTGCGCTTTTTTCCGTTTGCGCTTTTTTCCGTTTGCGCTTTTTTCCGTGTGCGCTTTTTTCTGTTTGCGCTTTTTTCCGTTTGCGCTTTTTTCTCTTTGCGCTTTTTTCCGTTTGCGCTTTTTTCTGTTTGCGCTTTTTTCTGTGTGCGCTTTTTTCTCTTTGCGCTTTTTTCTGTTTGCGCTTTTTTCTCTTTGCGCTTTTTTCCGTGTGCGCTTTTTTCTCTTTGCGCTTTTTTCCGTTTGCGCTTTTTTCTGTTTGCGCTTTTTTCTGTGTGCGCTTTTTTCTCTTTGCGCTTTTTTCCGTTTGCGCTTTTTTCTCTTTGCGCTTTTTTCTGTGTGCGCTTTTTTCTCTTTGCGCTTTTTTCCGTGTGCGCTTATTTCCGTTGCGCTTTTTGATTTGCGCTTTTTTCCGTTGCGCTTTTTTCCGTTGCGGTTCTTTCTGGGAACCCCAATAGATACTAAAGTGACTCACGCTTTTCTTTATAGTTATTAAAATAGTATTTTTTTCTACTTTTTAGTGCATTATTACATAAAAGATTGTATAAAACTTTTTTTTACGAAATTTTTTTTTTTTAAATTGGATCGAAATGATCGCATTTTAGTTCGATTTTTAATCTCAGCTGTGCAAAACAATAATAAAAAAAAATTCGAAATTTTCCGCCCTTTCAAAATTAGATACAGTGTCCCCCCCCCCCCTCCCCCCCCCCTCCCCCCCCCCCCTCTAGATTCTAGATATTATAGATTCTAGATATACGTCACGTTCGGGAATTTTACAAAAAGTGGAGATAATTTAAATTAACACACTTTTATAACATCCTTTAGACATAACAAACAATATTCGACATTAGATCGAGAAATACATCCTTTAGGCCGAAACAAATATTTAAATTGACATTATCTCCCAAAGACAATGTATTGAATCAGTAAAATCTGTTCCGTTGATTAATCACAGTTTTTTACTCAACCCTTCTGGAAAATCCCTGATTTTGGGTATCTCCAGTGCTATTCTTAGCCTCTTCTCTTCATGCTAACAGTTTAGACGGTGAGGTAAGTCATAGAATATATCTAGATCTAGAAAATCTATATCAGGACCTAAATCTAGACTCCCTAAATATATACTAACTATTGTGTAATAATAAAATAGGCATAGGGCTAGGTAATCTCACGATATAGTACGATTAGGGCCTATAATTAAAATTATTATAGTATATACTAGTATATAGATTAGATTATAGACCCTCGCCCTCTCACGGCCTTTGCCTAGTTCTAGATCTAGAATCTAGGTCTAGATTCTAGTACTCTAGCTAGACTCTAGAGCCTACTCTAGACTAGTCTAGACTCAATCATTCTAGATCTAGAGTCTAGAGATTTTCTAGATGGAATCTAGATCTAGATCTAGATTCTACTTCCACACTCAATCTTATCAGAATCACTACCTACTCCTTCGCTTCGGTAACTTCGAAATATTTTTTTAAAATTAATTATTAATTTTGGTAGGCCTAGGCCTAAAGCGGCAAGCCGGCTAAAGCTAGAAGATTGCAGCTAGATTCTAGGTCTAGACTAGGTCTAGAAGTAGAATCTAGAATCTAGATCTAGATCTAGTAGATTCTTATGATTATAAAATATATAGAAGTCTAGGCATAGTCACTAATTACTAGATTCTAGATCTCTAAATTAAATTAGGCCCAATATAAAATAATCATATTCATATACACATATATAGGCCTATTATAATATAATATTATTAGGCCCTGGCCTAGACCTGTAATCAATTATATTAATATCATAAAATTCATAGGTAATTTATCGTTTTAGGTAGATTCTACGTAAAATCGCCCGCGACTAGTAATGTGAAAACCAGGTGACTCCTTAAATTTTAATAATTATTTCACATTTTGAGGAGGATTTATGTTTTGACAAATACAAAAATGCTTCATTGTTTCATTTATGTACCTGGTTTTAAACAACTGAATTAAAACTGTTCAGTGATAAATGAATACTAGCTATGTTTCCAACAGATGCAACCATGCTCATTTACAATAGCAGCCATCTTGTTTTTTTTTTTTATTGTAAACTTATAGCGCAAGATTCAGGGGAAGCCACTCTAACTTAGCAGATGGCCACTTTTTATAGAGCAAATCCTGCTCGCAAACACTGCTGTTTAAAGTTAATTTCTTGCCTATATTGATATATTTAATATTTAGCCATTGATTTAGGTTTATTATTCATTTACCTATAATATTTGACACAAATATATCACAATTTACTTCTATTAAAGCCTTGACAATGAGGTAAATTTTTCGTACTTTACTAGCCGCGGGCGATTTTACGTACCTAAAATGATAGATTACCAATTCATAAATATAGGCCTAAATTCTAAGTAGGGCCTATAGGCCTATAATTATAATAACTATATATTAAATAAATATATGCTTCAAATACTAGATTCTAGATCTATTTTAGTATTTTATAGTTACTTTAGTTACTAGATCTAGTAGTATAGTAATCTACCATTGGCCTATTCTATACTCTATCACAGAGGCGTAGTGACCCTTCCCGGCGCCCGGGGACAACTTTTGATTTGCACCCCCCCCACCCTCGAACTTTTCATTTGCACCCCCCCCCCCTCAAACTTTCAATTTGCACCCCCCCTCAAACTTTCGATTTGCACCCCCCTCAAACTTTTCATTTGCGCCCCCCCCCCCCCCCCCTCAAATTTTCAATTTGGCGCCCCCCCCCCCCCCCTAAGGTCGGCGCCCGGGGACATATGTATATAAATTCCATTTTGCCAGGAGGGGGGCGGGGGGTTCGATCAAACCTAGGTTAGGAACCACTGATCTAAAAATAGAGTAGGCCTGTGTATCAGCCTTTAGTCTAGTAAAGTATTTACTTGGTAGTGTTTACCATACTATATTTTCAGGAATCTGTAGATCTAAATTATAGAGCTGATGAGGTAGCCTATATGTCATAGTTATACCAATATCTGATAGGAAATTATTTTGTTGATAAATAGGTAACCCTTTCCTAAATCCAACCCTAATGCTAGTCTACCTACTAATTTCTGATCTTAATTACATTAAACCTCATCCTAATCAGTCATCTAATAACCTAACAAAACTAATTTCAGAAGTCTGTTGTCTGACACAGTAGCATCGCTAGGTCGGTAGTCACCCGGTGCGGTACTTCATGGTGTCCACACCCCACCAAAGAAACAAAGTATATATATTTATATATATATATATATATATATATATATATATATATATATATATATATATATATATATATATATATATATATATATATATATATATATATATATATATATAGGCCTATTATAATATAATATTATTAGGCCCTGGCCTAGACCTGTAATCAATTATATTAATATCATAAAATTCATAGGTAATTTATCGTTTTAGGTAGATTCTACGTAAAATCGCCCGCGACTAGTAATGTGAAAACCAGGTGACTCCTTAAATTTTAATAATTATTTCACATTTTGAGGAGGATTTATGTTTTGACAAATACAAAAATGCTTCATTGTTTCATTTATGTACCTGGTTTTAAACAACTGAATTAAAACTGTTCAGTGATAAATGAATACTAGCTATGTTTCCAACAGATGCAACCATGCTCATTTACAATAGCAGCCATCTTGTTTTTTTTTTTTATTGTAAACTTATAGCGCAAGATTCAGGGGAAGCCACTCTAACTTAGCAGATGGCCACTTTTTATAGAGCAAATCCTGCTCGCAAACACTGCTGTTTAAAGTTAATTTCTTGCCTATATTGATATATTTAATATTTAGCCATTGATTTAGGTTTATTATTCATTTACCTATAATATTTGACACAAATATATCACAATTTACTTCTATTAAAGCCTTGACAATGAGGTAAATTTTTCGTACTTTACTAGCCGCGGGCGATTTTACGTACCTAAAATGATAGATTACCAATTCATAAATATAGGCCTAAATTCTAAGTAGGGCCTATAGGCCTATAATTATAATAACTATATATTAAATAAATATATGCTTCAAATACTAGATTCTAGATCTATTTTAGTATTTTATAGTTACTTTAGTTACTAGATCTAGTAGTATAGTAATCTACCATTGGCCTATTCTATACTCTATCACAGAGGCGTAGTGACCCTTCCCGGCGCCCGGGGACAACTTTTGATTTGCACCCCCCCCACCCTCGAACTTTTCATTTGCACCCCCCCCCCCCTCAAACTTTCAATTTGCACCCCCCCTCAAACTTTCGATTTGCACCCCCCTCAAACTTTTCATTTGCGCCCCCCCCCCCCCCCCTCAAATTTTCAATTTGGCGCCCCCCCCCCCCCCCTAAGGTCGGCGCCCGGGGACATATGTATATAAATTCCATTTTGCCAGGAGGGGGGCGGGGGGTTCGATCAAACCTAGGTTAGGAACCACTGATCTAAAAATAGAGTAGGCCTGTGTATCAGCCTTTAGTCTAGTAAAGTATTTACTTGGTAGTGTTTACCATACTATATTTTCAGGAATCTGTAGATCTAAATTATAGAGCTGATGAGGTAGCCTATATGTCATAGTTATACCAATATCTGATAGGAAATTATTTTGTTGATAAATAGGTAACCCTTTCCTAAATCCAACCCTAATGCTAGTCTACCTACTAATTTCTGATCTTAATTACATTAAACCTCATCCTAATCAGTCATCTAATAACCTAACAAAACTAATTTCAGAAGTCTGTTGTCTGACACAGTAGCATCGCTAGGTCGGTAGTCACCCGGTGCGGTACTTCATGGTGTCCACACCCCACCAAAGAAACAAAGTATATATTTATTTATATATATATATATATATATATATATATATATATATATATATATATATATATATATATATATATATATATATATATATATATATATATATATATATATATATATATATATATATATATATATATATATATATATATATATATATATATATAGGCCTATTATAATATAATATTATTAGGCCCTGGCCTAGACCTGTAATCAATTATATTAATATCATAAAATTCATAGGTAATTTATCGTTTTAGGTAGATTCTACGTAAAATCGCCCGCGACTAGTAATGTGAAAACCAGGTGACTCCTTAAATTTTAATAATTATTTCACATTTTGAGGAGGATTTATGTTTTGACAAATACAAAAATGCTTCATTGTTTCATTTATGTACCTGGTTTTAAACAACTGAATTAAAACTGTTCAGTGATAAATGAATACTAGCTATGTTTCCAACAGATGCAACCATGCTCATTTACAATAGCAGCCATCTTGTTTTTTTTTTTTATTGTAAACTTATAGCGCAAGATTCAGGGGAAGCCACTCTAACTTAGCAGATGGCCACTTTTTATAGAGCAAATCCTGCTCGCAAACACTGCTGTTTAAAGTTAATTTCTTGCCTATATTGATATATTTAATATTTAGCCATTGATTTAGGTTTATTATTCATTTACCTATAATATTTGACACAAATATATCACAATTTACTTCTATTAAAGCCTTGACAATGAGGTAAATTTTTCGTACTTTACTAGCCGCGGGCGATTTTACGTACCTAAAATGATAGATTACCAATTCATAAATATAGGCCTAAATTCTAAGTAGGGCCTATAGGCCTATAATTATAATAACTATATATTAAATAAATATATGCTTCAAATACTAGATTCTAGATCTATTTTAGTATTTTATAGTTACTTTAGTTACTAGATCTAGTAGTATAGTAATCTACCATTGGCCTATTCTATACTCTATCACAGAGGCGTAGTGACCCTTCCCGGCGCCCGGGGACAACTTTTGATTTGCACCCCCCCACCCTCGAACTTTTCATTTGCACCCCCCCCCCCCTCAAACTTTCAATTTGCACCCCCCCTCAAACTTTCGATTTGCACCCCCCTCAAACTTTTCATTTGCGCCCCCCCCCCCCCCTCAAATTTTCAATTTGGCGCCCCCCCCCCCCCCCCCTAAGGTCGGCGCCCGGGGACATATGTATATAAATTCCATTTTGCCAGGAGGGGGGCGGGGGGTTCGATCAAACCTAGGTTAGGAACCACTGATCTAAAAATAGAGTAGGCCTGTGTATCAGCCTTTAGTCTAGTAAAGTATTTACTTGGTAGTGTTTACCATACTATATTTTCAGGAATCTGTAGATCTAAATTATAGAGCTGATGAGGTAGCCTATATGTCATAGTTATACCAATATCTGATAGGAAATTATTTTGTTGATAAATAGGTAACCCTTTCCTAAATCCAACCCTAATGCTAGTCTACCTACTAATTTCTGATCTTAATTACATTAAACCTCATCCTAATCAGTCATCTAATAACCTAACAAAACTAATTTCAGAAGTCTGTTGTCTGACACAGTAGCATCGCTAGTCGGTAGTCACCCGGTGCGGTACTTCATGGTGTCCACACCCCACCAAAGAAACAAAGTATATATATTTATATATATATATATATATATATATATATATATATATATATATATATATATATATATATATATATATATATATATATATATATATATATATATATATATATATATATATATATATATATATATATATATATATATATATATATATATATATATATATATATATATAAATGGCCTACATATGCCTATAATTTAAATATATGTCACAAATGCATACTTATATGTGTATAAGCTTTAATCACTGCAGTGTTTATCTATAGTCTTTTAATACAGCTGGATGTAGCATTGTTTTATCTAAAGTTAGCAAATTTACGTCATGGTGTCACCCCAACCCCCTTGTAGTAATTGTCGATAGTACTTTAAAGACTATTTAACTTTAAATAATGGAGCAGGCAAAAAGCATTTTTCTTCTGTGCATCTTGCAATTTTTTGCCATTGGTGGCACCCCTGCCTCGCCCTCGCTACGCCTCTGGTCTGACACTGGGACTATCAACTTTTTAAAATAAAAATCAAACCAAATCATAAACTAAGCCTAATGCAACGCCAAAGTAATAGATGAAATACCCAAGGCAAGACCTAACAGTGGCTCACAACTTATAGATTCTATGTAAAGTTCACTTATGGCTTCCTTCTACATTTTAAAAATGAAATTGTTTTTATAGCTTATGAAGTTAATTTTATTTTTTAAGGCCTTTAGGTCAAACATAATAGGTTTTTGTGGCCTGAACAATCTATCACCATTTTCACCTTCCCATATTAAATCAGATAATCTTACAAACTGGGCTGATTGATGTCATCACATTTAACTTATATTATTTTATAAATATAAATTATAAGAACAGTATGGAACATTTAACTTGAAAATATAGTCCTACTTCAATGTTGTGTATTTAATGACCCAACATTAAAAAATAACTAGATTAAAATCTAAACAATAAACAACTCATTTTAGGATGATTGTGTGGCTCCTATTTGCAGGTTTGTTTCTTATTGCCTGGACAAACTCAACCATCTTTACTTCCTTTTGTTACAGTCATTAACTGTTAACCCTAACTAGAGGCTTAACACCACTATCCTACAATAGGCTGTATGCAGGGGTGTGGGGGGGGGGGGGGGGGGGCGGGGGGGGCGGACCGCACCGGGTGCCACCATTTAGGGGGGTGACACCAAGGCAAAAAATAGCAAAATATATAGAGAAAAACTTGAGGGGGGGTGCAAATCGAAAGTTTGAGGGGGGGGGGGGGGGGGTGCAAATCAAAAACTTGAGGGGGATGCAAATCAAAAGTTTGAGGGGGGGTGCAAGTTGAAACTTGAAAGTTTGTCCCCGGGAAGGGTCGCTACGCCTCTGGGGGGGGGTGACACCATTAAGTGCCGCACCGGGTGACACCCGACCTCGCTACACCACTGGCTGTATGTATCTTTACATCTGATACTAACATGCTATTGGAATCAAATCTTTTTTAAAAACAGATCTGGAACTGTTCCAATGCCAAACAATAAAAAATCTTCTAAAACATAAACACAACTGGAAGTCTGAATGTTAAAACTAGTGAACCCAAGTGATGTTAAGTTTCTAAACATTTATTTCAATGTCCAACAAGTGAGAATACAGTTGTTTAAGTTTCAATTTCAAGTCTTTCAGTCAGCCAAAACTGTTCAGTTATGATAACATGACTTCACAGTGAAAGTAAAGAAGGTTGGCCACAGAATATGCTACATAACAAACAGATTTGACAGTCTGATCTGGAACTTTTAACTTTATTTAAATTTGTTTCATATAAAATATTTTAACATTTTCCCTAAATTTTGCATCCAAACTCACTGACCATCTGACTTGAGATAGTTTTTTTGCTGCGGAGCTAAACCTATTTAATGTAAAGCTATGCTGTTATACTACTGTTATGTGCCTAGACAACTGTCAGTACAATTACTACCAAATTATTGTGATGGTATTTAATCTAGTTTGTTTCATTAGTTTTAACTTGTATTTAAAAATTTAGTTTTTGTAAATTAATGATGTCACCCATCTATGCTGCCAGTCATACCTATTTTTAGACAATATGTATGCATTTTTTTTTCTTCTGAACTTTTTTTACAAGTACATTTATCATCCAGTTATTTTTTTTTTCTGTAGTTACAAGATTTGCAGTTACAAGACTGTTCTAAGAAGCTACTAAACGTTTCAAAGGTAACTACACATTTCTTATGCCGTGGTGACTGTCAATATTTTACCTTTTCTACAAATCAGTTAATTGAGCAGATTCTCGTGAAGCCTACACGCCTAAGAAAAAACAAACCTTGTAATTTAGAGGCAATCAAGTCAAATCGTTTTTTGATTGTGTTATTATAGAACTGAGCAGGTAAGCCAACAGACCTATCAGGTCATTGTGTTATAGAACTGAGCAGGTAAGCCAACAGACCTATCAAGTCATTTTGTTTGTGTTATAGAACTGAGTAGGTAAGCCAACAGACCTATCAAGTCATTTTGTTTGTGTTATAGAACTGAGTAGGTAAGCCAACAGACCTATCAGGTCATTTTGTTTGTGTTATAGAACTGAGCAGGTAAGCCAACAGCCATATCAAGTCATTTTGTTTGTGTTATAGAACTGAGCAGGTAAGCCAACAGCCATATCAAGTCATTTTGTTTGTGTTATAGAACTGAGCAGGTAAGCCAACAGCCATATCAAGTCATTTTGTTTGTGTTATAGAACTGAGCAGGTAAGCCAACAGCCATATCAAGTCATTTTGTTTGTGTTATAGAACTGAGCAGGTAAGCCAACAGCCCTATCGGACGTATCTAAGGTGAGGGTATGGGTGAGACTTTGGTGAGGACATGATACTTGGGGAGGGGGCGATAAACATGTTTGAAGATATCGTTTGTATTTTTATGGACACAATTAATATACAGCAGCTGGTAGAATCCTACGATATTTTAGAATGTTCTTGCATTTTCTGATGACGTTTGGTAATGGGGTGCGGTGTTAAAATAGGATTAAACACCTGACATCATGGGCCACCCCCAATCTCTGTCACGCTTCGATGGTCAAATACATTGTGACCCCTGGGATTGGCCACCAGGAACTGGGTTAGGTCAGGTAAACAAGCTGTTGACACGACCAGAAACTTGGTTCCCACAACTTTCATTGATATATCTTAAATAAAGCTTTAACACGTTAAGCATAATTTGTTGACGTCAGGTAAAACACGCTAAGCATGTGCTAATTACGTTAGGTAAAGCATGCTAAGCGTGTGCTATTGACGTCAGGAGAAAAATATCACGTGTGGTTTCCGGAGTTTCCCCACATGACAGTATCATTTGAAAAATTCCCATTATTATGTGGCTGATAAATCTTACGTAATAACTATCTTACCTGTATGTGTCAAAGTGTCCGTGTCATTGTGTTGGTGCCAGCCCGTCTTGTCTCCACTGTGTCTATTACAGAGGTTAGTTCATCTTGTTCTATAAATAGGCTACACGTGCTCATTGAGTCTTTCATGTAGCCTGTGTTTTATCTGGGAATTCATTTTACTTGTTTATCTTATTCTATTAATAGTTTTGCTCGTACGTGTTGCTAATGGGAATTCGTTCTACATATTTCCATTTTAATACGCCTCGCCATCTAGACTTTTAACAGCAAGCCCAAGATCGGCTATTTTAAGTAACAAGCCTCGTAATGAAAGTCGCTCCCGCCAATTAATTTGTAAATAAAATAGCTTGTCGTCCATATACCTGAGAAGATTCGATGTATAAATTTTTTTGAATAAATTTGAATTTGTATCAGCTATGACTAGACGTCAGAGATATTCGGAGATTTTAAATATTACCAAAATAGACTACAGTAAAGTAGGTTTCAATCTTAAGTCTTCTTCGGTTATAAAACAATGGAGAGCTAATAAAAAACTTAATTCATTTTGATTTTTTTCGGTTACTTTTTTTTATTTGTTAATCAGATCGATGATAATCTTTTTCAATTTTTATAAATATTTAAATTTAAAATTTTATATTCTATTTATAGACGTTCGGAAATATTATAAATTTTAACTTAGAATCAAGTTCACCTCAGCGTTATTTATAGCGCTACTGATACGCCATTTATCTTTAGTATTTGTAGTCAGCATCACCCTACCACTGTCTCATTTGTCTGGCTACCTTTCACTGCGATACCCTCGTTCTACATTTGTTTTACAACTTCAGGTCTGCTCGCCCATTTATTTCAAGCTACTTTTGACGTTTGTACACTTACGTCTACATTTATTTTAATCTACTTATGAAGATACAAAGCTAATTTTAAAGCTATAATATATTTTTTTTGGAAACTTTTACTTTTAAAGATGAATTAAAAGAATTACCTCCCTTATCATTTTCTCCCTCTATTTTCAGCTGCTGATATCTGACAGTTACCTCCAAGGTGGACCACTCAAAACAACCAAGATGGCGGACAGGGAACGTGAGCCTCATGGGATGGCCTTTAGCAGAAGCCCACAAGACATTTATGAAAATATTTTAAAGATGGACAGAGAGAAGAAAAGAGAAACATTTAGAAAGTATTACACCATCCTAGCTGCTGTGACTGAAGTGTATGATCAGCACCCGTATGTTTTACTCATCTTTTTTGTCAACTATTTGCTTGAGATGGGCCAGGAAGTGACCTCTAGAAACTTAATCAGCTGTCTAGACCAGCTGGACAGCTCGTCCACTTTGTTCTCACAGCTGTACGACACAGACGATGAGAGTGACATACGGGCATTGGCTGGCTCTCAGAAACAGCCTGATGACACCAGGAACAGCCTAGGTGCAGCAGACAGCAGGAACAGCCTAGGTGCAGCAGACAGCAGGAACAGCCTAGGTGCAGCAGACAGCAGGAACAGCCTAGGTGCAGCAGACAGCAGGAACAGCCTAGGTGCAGCAGACAGCAGGAACAGCCTAGGTGCAGCAGACCAACCTGTAGTTCCATCTTCCGATCAAGTTTCAGTCAGTCCATCAACAACCCACTCAAACACAGCACACAATGGACCGAGTGACCACTCAAACACAGCACACAATGGACCGAGTGACGTCAGCAGTGTGCACACAGCCCCAAGCTGTGACGTGGTAGACAAGCCTAACCATGTGCAGGGAGCTAACCATGTGCAGGGAGCTAACTCCCCCAGAAATGTCCAGCAACTGCCCAGCTACGATGAAGTGGATGGGGAGCTATTGGCCAGGTCAAGAGCCAGCGTCCCACACAACGTCATCTCAGGTCCAGCTAAACGTGCCCAGCTGACCAGCAGCAGGACAGAGGAGACGCCTTGTGCTGAGGCGGCCTCAGCCAACACTGAGGACCCAGCACTCATTAAAGAGAGGCTGTTGGCTGTCAAGAATGAGAATAAAATCCTGGAGGATTACAAGCGGTGCCTGCAGTGCCACAGGAACCCGCGTGGTGTCACCTTCTTGCCGTGTGGACACTTCACCACATGCAGGGAGTGCTCTGGCCCCATGTACGTCTGCACATTATGTAACAGGAATATACTGGCCACTGTGGACACATATCTCAGCTAAAGTTTGGTATAAAGTTATTTATTGAAAGTTATACACATTTCTTTTTATTTATTTGAGGCACTGTGTTAGTCAGGTTGTTAGTGCAGGTTTGCTGAAAGGGTTGAGTCTATCCAGCTGTAATGGGTACCTGAAACAAGTTGGAGGGCAACCTGGTCATGGTGCTTGCTTGTTGAGGTCACACTTTGCCATCTCAGCTCTGGTCAAGTGGTTGAAAACAAATGTCATGCTCTTAACATAAATACCACCATGATACCAGCACTACAGCTAGGTAAAGCCTAAGGATTGTCTATATGAGACTGGTACAACAACAGCTAGATAAAGCCTAGGGATTGTCTATATGAGACTGGTACAACAACAGCTAGATAAAGCCCATGGATTGTCTATATGAGACTGGTACAACAACAGCTAGATAAAGCCCATGGATTGTCTATATGAGACTGGTACAACAACAGCTAGATAAAGCCCATGGATTGTCTATATGAGACTGGTACAACAACAGCTAGGTAAAGAGGTAAAGCCTAGGGATTGTCTATATGAGACTGGTACAACAACAGCTAGATAAAGCCCATGGATTGTCTATATGAGACTGGTACAACAACAGCTAGATAAAGCCTAGGGATTGTCTATATGAGACTGGTACAACAACAGCTAGGTAAAGCCTAGGGATTGTCTATATGAGACTGGTACAACAACAGCTAGATAAAGCCTAGGGATTGTCTATATGAGACTGGTACAACAACAGCTAGATAAAGCCTAGGGATTGTCTATATGAGACTGGTACAACAACAGCTAGATAAAGCCTAGGGATTGTCTATATTAGACTGGTAGTGTTGGGTTCTGGAATCATTGGCATCCTACTTAAGGATGATTCAATACTTGATGTCTACTACAATATGATGTTAATACAGTGATTAACATGACTATCTGGGCATTAAGTACCAACTAATTCTGAGATAATTAATGTGATCATTATAAAGCTGGATTATTGTTATATCTTTGTATGATCTTATCATTGTCATCATTAGGATGGTTAGGGGAAACCAGAGTGTGCATGAAAAAACATGAGAGTTCTAGTATGTTCCAACTTTGATTGTCTCCCTTCTATATGGAATAATCCTATCAAACTATCCAGATGCCCTATCATGTCCCTACATTCTTTGTTACTCTATTCAATAAGCAGACATTCTAAAATATGCATATGTTACCGGCAATGTATGAAAACTTGGCACTCTATAGAAGGCTTAGCCAATGTATACAATCACTGTTGTTTTTAAGCAAAGCATGAAACATAAGAGTTGTAATATAGGCCTACGTATATACTTTTCCTAGGCAGTACATAACAAGCAGTCAAAAAATGAAAGAAAAACAACTAAATGAACAACAGGAAATCTTTATTAAGATAAGAAATGAATCAAAAGTGCTATCACTTACATTTTTTTTTTTGCAGCATGGAAGGCTAGACAGACAGTTCTAATTGCAGTTAAATTTTCTATCTAACCCTAACACTTGTCCTAATTCTACACCTAACTTTAACCCAATCCCCAACAGAGGCGTAGCGACCCCTCCCGGCGCCCGGGGACAAAACTTTCGATTTGCACCCCCCCCCCCCTTTCAAACTTTCGATTTGCACCCCCCCCCCTCGAACTTTTCATTTCCACCCCCCCTCAAACTTTCAATTTGGCGCCCCCCCCCCCTAAGGTCGGCGCCCGGGGACATATGTCCCGCCCCCCCCCCCCCCTCGCTACGCCTCTGATCCCCAACCCTTAATATTTCGCTATTATCCCAAACTCTGGCTGTTATTTGGTGTTCTATAGAATGACTAGGAAATGTATGAAATATTGATGTATTTCATACTTTGACCACCTATTTCAGGCATTGTATACATTGTATAAGTATGCTATTGAATCAGTTTTTCTACACTCTGCCGGTAACACATACATTTCATCAAGGTTAGAGTTGTAAAGGTACATAATCTAGAATCACTTCACTTACCCGTATACTAATACTGTGTGTATTTAGAATAAAACCAGTTACCTCCCTTATAATAGCACAGAGACACAGCACCCCATCTAGCGTTCCTCTGTCTGTTAGATCAAACTGCCCGGACAGTTCAAGTTGTGTTAACACGTATATTACCTCTCTGACAAGAGTCAAACAATGATTTTGGTCTGTCACTTTCAAACATATTTTGATATGAATAAAACAGGAATCAAAGTTTGCCTGAAATTGATCTCTTTTCTCACATTCATTATGATTATTATATCAACTGTTACTCATTCCAGTAACTCATTACTTCTCACATATGTTGACATCACAGTAATTCATTACCTTTGTATTTATTTTACTGGCAATTTTAATTTTTTAACAGTTTACAAAGAATTGTACTTAATACAAAACGTTAACGACTAAAAGTCTGAAGGTGTTGTCATTCGTCTCTGTAAAAATTGTTGTATGTTATCGTTGTTGTAGTCCTCGTCTTTGTGGGCTGGTTCGTTGTGGGCTGGTTCGTTGTGGTCTGGTTCGTTGTGGGCTGGTTCGTTGTGGGCTAGTTCGTTGTGGGCTAGTTCGTTGTCTGGTTCGTTGTGGGCTGGTTCGTTGTGGTCTGGTTCGTTATGGGCTGGTTCTTTGTGGTCTGGTTCGTTGTGGGCTGGTTCGTTGTGGTCTGGTTCGTTATGGGCTGGTTCTTTGTGGTCTGGTTCGTTGTGGGCTGGTTCGTTGTGGTCTGGTTCGTTGTGGGCTGGTTCGTTGTCTGGTTCGTTGTGGGCTAGTTCGTTGTGGGCTAGTTCGTTGTCTGGTTCGTTGTGGGCTGGTTCGTTGTGGTCTGGTTCGTTATGGGCTGGTTCTTTGTGGTCTGGTTCGTTGTGGGCTGGTTCGTTGTGGTCTGGTTCGTTATGGGCTGGTTCTTTGTGGTCTGGTTCGTTGTGGGCTGGTTCGTTGTGGTCTGGTTCGTTGTGGGCTGGTTCGTTGTCTGGTTCGTTGTGGGCTAGTTCGTTGTGGGCTAGTTCGTTGTCTGGTTCGTTATGGGCTGGTTCTTTGTGGTCTGGTTCGTTGTGGGCTGGTTCGTTGTGGTCTGGTTCGTTGTGGGCTGGTTCGTTGTCTGGTTCGTTGTGGGCTAGTTCGTTGTGGGCTAGTTCGTTGTCTGGTTCGTTGTGGGCTGGTTCGTTGTGGGCTGGTTCGTTAAGGGCTGGTTCGTTGTAAGCTGGTTCGTTGTCTGGTGCCAGCCCGTAAGCTGGGCTTTTAGCTGTTTCTTGGCTGTAAAGCCGGCGGCTGGAGCCTAACTATATAAACACTAAAATAAAATAAAATAGATTTGATCTGGATTATATTTTAATAATTTAAAAATATATGGTTATTTTAGTCTTTGCAGGCAGTTATCAGGATCATGTAATAATATATAACGCATGTTTACTTCATTTTAAGTTCATTTCATTAGGATGGAACACCCCCTACACACACCCATCAACACACACAATTATGATATGGCTAACAACATTATGTGAGTCCACACTATGACCTATTTACATACCTCCTCATCATAAACAACTGTCAGACCTTTTATTGTGTAAAATGAATGTTGTGAGAGCTGAATCATCTTGTACACCCAACAAAGAACTTATAGATATTTGGCTAAAACAGAAGTAACTTATTACCTCTCTCAGTAAACTCACCCGGTATCAGAGTAACTCATAAGGTAACTATTATTTAAAATGAGTCGCTGTTTGTAAACAGTGTCTGATGGGAAAGCGATGACAGCTGCTGTAAACACTGGATGGAGGGCGTTTTGATGTGGCATTTTTGTGTGGCTTTTGTTTATTTAGTAAAATAACTTGTAATTTAGACATTAAAACAATCAATTAACTAACAGAATTAAAAAGTCTGTAGGAATAAAAATGTGTTATTGTTTATAAGATCTAATTTGGCGGCCCCTTAAAATGCTGCTTGTATGAATGCTTGCGAGTGAGATTTAATAAACGGTGTAGATCCTATGCCAAACATTTTAGATTTATTTTATCGTTACTACCTAACTACAAAATCGGGCGTTATCTCACGAAATGATTTCCAAATTCCTGTCCTACTAGATAGTATGTATCGTCTTTCGTCTACGTCGTACCCCCCTCCCCCCTCAAGAAAGTTTTAATCCACCCCCCTTAAAGAATAATGTCTGAAAGAAACAATTCTTGTAATCTTTTTTGTTACTTGAGAAAAGTCACAAAAACATACGAACTCTACTTCTTCTAGATCTGTAGAACGCAATGTCTGAACTTCTAAAACTGAGGCTGGTCTGGTCAGCACATGACATACAAGACACGTGACCTCTACACCCCAACACTGTCGTGTCTCAAGTCGGCTCGAAATATTTCTTCAACACAAATCATCAATTTGCTTCAGATAGTTTCCTTTTATCCTTACTGAGCATTTCGCAAGAACATTAAATTTTAAAGGAATTTAAATGTCAGCAAGAGACAGACTTATAACAGATAAATGAGATCAATACAAGGGACGGAACTTGTTGTTAGGTTAGCACAAGGTTCACGTCAGAGACATACAGACACGGTATGATTGTTTAATAAGATGGGACACGGTATGATTGTTTAATAAGATGGGACACGGTATGATTGTTTAATAAGATGGGACACGGTATGATTGTTTAATAAGATGGGACACGGTATGATTGTTTAATAAGATGGGACACGGTATGATTGTTTAATAAGATGGGACACGGTATGATTGTTTAATAAGATGGGACACGGTATGATTGTTTAATAAGATGGGACACGGTATGATTGTTTAATAAGATGGGACACGGTATGATTGTTTAATAAGATGGGACACGGTATGATTGTTTAATAAGATGGGACACGATATGATTGTTTAATAAGATGCGACACGATATGATTGTTTAATAAGATGGGACACGGTATGATTGTTTAATAAGATGGGACACGGTATAATAAGATGCGACACGGTATGATTGTTTAATAAGATGCGACACGGTATGATTGTTTAATAAGATGGGACACGATATGATTGTTTAATAAGATGGGACACGGTATAATAAGATGCGACACGGTATGATTGTTTAATAAGATGGGACACGGTATGATTGTTTAATAAGATGGGACACGGTATGATTGTTTAATAAGATGGGACACGGTATGATTGTTTAATAAGATGGGACACGGTATGATTATTTAATAAGATGGGACACGATATGATTGTTTAATAAGATGGGACACGGTATAATAAGATGCGACACGGTATGATTGTTTAATAAGATGGGACACGGTATGATTGTTTAATAAGATGGGGCACGGTATAATAAGATGCGACACGGTATGATTGTTTAATAAGATGCGACACGGTATGATTGTTTAATAAGATGGGACACTGTATAATAAGATGCGACACGGTATGATTGTTTAATAAGATGCGACACGGTATGATTGTTTAATAAGATGGGACACGATATGATTGTTTAATAAGATGCGACACGATATGATTGTTTAATAAGATGCGACACGGTATGATTGTTTAATAAGATAGGACATGGTATGATTGTTTAATAAGATGGGACACGGTATGATTGTTTAATAAAATGGGACACGATATGATTGTTTAATAAGATGGGACACGATATGATTGTTTAATAAGATGCGACACGGTATGATTGTTTAATAAGAAGGGACACGGTATGATTGTTTAATAAGATAGGACACGGTATAATAAGATGCGACACGGTATGATTGTTTAATAAGATGGGACACGGTATGATTGTTTAATTGGGACACGGTATGATTGTTTAATAAGATGGAACACGGTATGATTGTTTAATAAGATAGGACATGGTATGATTGTTTAATAAGCTGGGATTGTTTCCGATGCTATTTATGAAATAAATCACGGGATCTGTTTGTAGATCGTCCACATGTTATATAATAGAGTGGGGATGGAGTGATTATTTAGTTATATCCTGTTATGTGGGTGGGGATGGAGTGATTATTTAGTTATATCCTGTTATGTTGGTGGTGCTGTCGTTCATCCTTTGACCCGTCCCACGATTGGATCGTGGATATTTTGGTTGGGGAAAAATAACAGCTGGTTGGAATCGCTAAATGACACCACATTATGTGATTTGAATCGCTGAATGAAAGAGTAGACACCACAAGAAATGTGATTTCAATCGCTGAATGAAAGAGTAGACACCACAAGAAATGTGATTTGAATCGCTGAATGAAAGAGTAGACACCACATGAAATGTGATTTCAATCGCTGAATGAAAGAGTAGACACCACAAGAAATGTGATTTCAATCGCTGAATGAAAGAGTAGACACCACAAGAAATGTGATTTCAATCGCTGAATGAAAGAGTAGACACCACAAGAAATGTGATTTGAATCGCTGAATGAAAGAGTAGACACCACAAGAATTGTGATAAAGCACTGTCGTGTGATGTTATTTTTGCAACATTTCGGCTGATTACCTTAGATTGCATTAATACGTTGACGTGATTGGCTAACAAAATAATATATTTTTTAATCAGTTAACACGAATCAGATGTAACAAGATATTCATTTTTAAATGTTTCGATTCCCAAAGCTTTTTAAACTTAAAACAGAATCTTTTTAGACATCTTAACTAGGATCCTAGCTAGAAAATTAGGATTTCTTTTGAAGATATTAACTAATATCCTAGCTAGATTAGACTTCCTTCGTGAATGACTTTATATACTTTATTAATATATATATATATATATATATATATATATATATATATATATATATATATATATATATATCTTTATATATATATATATCTTTATATATATATATCCCTATCTTTCTATATATTTATATATATATATGAAATCACATGTCTGTCTGTCTGTCTGTCTGTCTGTCTGTCTGTCTGTCTGTCTGTCTGTCTGTCTGTCTGTCTGTCTGTCTGTCTGTCTGTCTGTCTGTCTGTCTGTCTGTCTGTCTGTCTGTCTGTCTGTCTGTCTGTCTGTCTGTCTGTCTGTCTGTCTGTCTGTCTGTCTGTCTGTCTGTCTGTCTGTCTGTCTGTCTGTCTGTCTGTCTGTCTGTCTGTCTGTCTGTCTGTCTGTCTGTCTGTCTGTCTGTCTGTCTGTCTGTCTGTCTGTCTGTCTGTCTGTCTGTCTGTCTGTCTGTCTGTCTGTCTGTCTGTCTGTCTGTCTGTCTGTCTGTCTGTCTGTCTGTCTGTCTGTCTGTCTGTCTGTCTGTCTGTCTGTCTGTCTGTCTGTCTGTCTGTCTGTCTGTCTGTCTGTCTGTCTGTCTGTCTGTCTGTCTGTCTGTCTGTCTGTCTGTCTGTCTGTCTGTCTGTCTGTCTGTCTGTCTGTCTGTCTGTCTGTCTGTCTGTCTGCCATGCATGCCTGCCTGCCCGCCCGCCCGCCTGCCTGCCTGCCTGCCTGTCTGTCTGTCTGTCTGTCTGTCTCTCTCTCTCTCTCTCTCTCTCTCTCGCTCTCTCTCTCTCTCTCTATATATATATATATATATATGTATGTATATATATATATATATATATATATATATATATAATGCTGCTGTTACATTATAGCCCACATTAAATCATTTCACTATATCCTATATCAAATCATTTCACGGGGTCGGCGTGGTCGAGTCGGTAAAGCTCATGGTTGTTAAATCGAAAAGTCTCGAGTTCGAACCCTCGGGCAGATAAGGCTCGATCCCTTCCAAAAACTAAAAAATTAAGAACGAAGAAGAAGAAGAAGAATCATTTCACTATCTCCTACATCAAAGCATTTCACTATCTCCTATATAAAACCATTTCACTATCTCCTATATCAAATCATTTCACTTAAATAATTTCACTGGCTCCTACATTAAACCCAAAAATGGCGGCTTGTGTATTCTAGAAAGAAATTTGGCTGTTTAACTTCTAAGAGTTAAATATTTCCATTGGGCACAAGTTCAGCCACGGATATAGGCCTACTATAAATATTAAGAATGTTTATTACACACTAGCGTAACCTGAAGGGTCCCCCAACTACCGGGGCACCGGGCAACGCGTCTGGTTAATTTGGACAAAGATTATAGGAACCAAATTAATCACGAAGGAGCCCGGAAAACAAATTCGCCTGATTCGATTTCGTAGAGGATTATAGTAGCTAATCGTATCCATTGTGTATCGCGCTCTTTAAAACGAACGTAGGTGCTATGGTGCAAACGGAGGATCCCGGTCGTCAGCATAGATCGACGCTGTTTACAGACACTGGGCATATAGAGAGGGCAAAGAGGGCAGGGCATCTACATGATTTCTATGAGCTTACTATTTTTACCTTCATCCTTCCCTCCCCACTACCACACATAGGAGCAAAAGCCAGACCACCCCCTAAAATGAAGTCACATCTCGGCCTATACACGCCTCTCAAAATTACATTTTTTTTTAATTTTAAACATAATTTTTTTTAAAATATTTAATTATATCACTAAAAATGAAACTATTTCTAGATTTATTACAATTTACAAAAATTATTTTCTAAAACGCAAATTAACGGCTTAATTTCAGTTTATAAGATTCTTTTTTTTTTCTAAAGTGCAAAATCATGTCGTCACACTTTTTGAACCCACCTTTGCCCTCAACACACATCACAATTTTACACAGTCACAAAATTCTGAACACCCCTCCCGCTTATATATATATATATATATATATATATATATATATATATATATATATATATATATATATATATAAACATATTCCTATACACATGTCTTTAATTCTACATAAATATGTATGTGTGTGTGATTTATAAATAAATGTAGGCCTACATAATTATGTTTTGGTGGGCGTATGTTGCGTGAGCGTATGTATAAAAACATATTCAAAAGACAATAAATAAAATGCAATCAATGTAGCCTATGAAATCTACCCTAAGCCTTCTATTTATTCCTCTATTGTAATGAACCCGTGACTGCAGTGAAAGTGAGAAGCTATGGAAACAGCAACGAACCAGCGAGGGAAAAAAGTCAATTTACAAACCAAAACACGCGACACTGCTCCAGCTAGACATCGTGACGTCATGACGTGATCTCCCCGTGGCACGGCCAGCCCGGCTCCAATAACATGTCCACCCACGCACTGCTCGCGTCATCACAACGCCATTGTCGCAACATCCGCTGACTGCTACTCTGGAACAGTTCCAGAAAAGATCCTGAAAGGAAAGAGCTACTGCATACCATCTAGCGTAGACGTGAGTTCATACAAACATAAACATTTCAGTTACAACTATATATATATATATATATATATATATATATATATATATATATATATATATATATATATATATATATGTGTGTGTGTGTGTGTGTGTGTGTGTGTATATTATATATATATATATATGAGTTTAGGCTTAACATATGATGTTACATTACGCTGTAATTGTATTGTAGTCACTGTAGCTCGCTCGTTTAAATTAATACTTTTAAAGTTTTTCATGTTTTATCTCAACTACCTCTAATATAGTTTTTTATGAGCCTCCTAAAAAATCTGAATAAATGTCTGTTATCATTTAATAATGAGCGTCTTTTGTTTCAGCCAACACAGCAAGACACGAGCACCCCCCAAGCTACCATCACCTTCTCTCAGTACTACCATCACCATCTCTCAGTACTACCATCTACAAGCACCCAAAGAAAATGTCAGCTTATCTGATCGTGTTGCTGGCCTGTGTTGTAGCCGTGTGTCACGTGGTGTTCGCTGCTCCCGTAAGTCAGGAAGTTGACGGTAAGTCACGCGCTCTCATTAAACATTGTTTCTCACCCCCCCCCTTTAAAATCGCAGTAAACACGTTACCCCCCCCCCCTCCACCACTCCGTTTATATCATAGTAAACACCGTCTCTCCCCATTTTTATCTAACTCCAAATACACTCCCCCCCCCCCCCCCCCCACACACACATTCTTCAAACAGTAAACATTCCTCCCCCCAATAATTTAACGATCGATAAACATTGCCAAACCCCCTTCCCCCGCATTAATCTAAAGGTAAATACTGTGACCTGCCTCACCCCCAATCATCTCCCACTTAACACTGTCCATCCATTCTTCTAACTATTTGATTCTGCCACTGTCCAATATGCCACTATATCCATTCTGCTGCCACTACCATTCTGCCACTACCATACTGCCACTACCATACTGCCACTACCCATCTTACTATCATCCCGTATTACCATCCCATCCCACTGTTATCCCGTATTACCATAACGTCTCAGCTAAGTCCTATTAAGCCAGGACCGTATAGCTAAAAGCCAGGTCTAGACCAATCTTATGTAAACACAAAACAGTTCTCCCTTATTAGAAAAAATATCTCTGGACTATGAATTTAACGACCACATATTTTTTTTTTTGTTCTATTTTTATTGTTCACTTAGATTACGACATGTTGGTCTAGACCTCCGTATTAGTGTCTGAATTGTTTAGTGAAGTTCTAGTACCACTAGTCGAGACAAGTTAAAATGTACAGCAATGACGCTATGGGTTTATTCGGTACACCGTATTGATTGATTCTAGCTTGAACACAGCTTATTATTTCCAACTCAGGAACCAACCAATCAATTATTTAAAGAGAATTGTTTCACTTCTTGTTTAGGCGATAAAAAAACGACACTCGAACTCTTGGCACGATAAAAGTAATAGAAATAACGTCAGGATAAACGTCATCACAAACTTGTCTTGTAGTTTTAACCGGAAATAGAAATAACGTCAGGATAAACGTCATCACAAACTTGTCTTGTAGTTTCAATAGAAATAACGTCAAGATAAACGGCATCACAAACTTGTCTTGTTGTTTCAATAGAAATAACGTCAGGATAAACGTCATCACAAACTTGTCTTGTAGTTTCAATAGAAATAACGTCAGGATAAACGGCATCACAAACTTGTCTTGTAGTTTCAATAGAAATAACGTCAGGATAAACGGCATCACAAACTTGTCTTGTAGTTTCAATAGAAATAACGTCAGGATAAACGGCATCACAAACTTGTCTTGTAGTTTCAATAGAAATAACGTCAGGATAAACGGCATCACAAACTTGTCTTGTAGTTTCAATAGAAATAACGTTAGGATAAACGGCATCACAAACTTGTCTTGTAGTTTCAATAGAAATAACGTCAGGATAAACGTCATCACAAACTTGTCTTGTAGTTTCAATAGAAATAACGTCAGGATAAACGGCATCACAAACTTGTCTTGTAGTTTCAATAGAAATAACGTCAGGATAAACGTCATCACAAACTTGTCTTGTAGTTTCAATAGAAATAACGTCAGGATAAACGTCATCACAAACTTGTCTTGTAGTTTCAATAGAAATAACGTCAGGATAAACGTCATCACAAACTTGTCTTGTAGTTTCAATAGAAATAACGTCAAGATAAACGGCATCACAAACTTGTCTTGTAGTTTCAATAGAAATAACGTCAGGATAAACGTCATCACAAACTTGTCTTGTAGTTTCAATAGAAATAACGTCAAGATAAACGGCATCACAAACTTGTCTTGTAGTTTCAATAGAAATAACGTCAGGATAAACGTCATCACAAACTTGTCTTGTAGTTTCAATAGAAATAACGTCAAGATAAACGGCATCACAAACTTGTCTTGTAGTTTCAACCGGCGGGCTGTTATTGATTTCAAAACGACGCGAGTCTGTAGGACAGTTGGACATCTAGGTGTGTCGGACAACATTTGTTAATTGAAGGACAACACAGCTACACGTGTAAAATGACACACTGATTTTAAAACTGTGGCCATGTGTGTAGGACAAGTGTCCTACAATCTATATGTATTGTATAATTTATAACTGTAAAATTTACTAAAAAATAGTTAAAGTGATTTTATATTTAAATTAAAATTCTGTAATGAAATCTATAAAATCCTATTTTCGTTGTTTGTAAGAAATTGGCGCGCATGCTTTGTTCTAAATTTGTTTGTAAAACAAGTTAATAAAAAGTCTAGTGACAATTTAAGCGCAATTTCCTTATATTATCCATAACAATTTTTAATTTTTTGTGACCGAACGAAAGGATATTTTTTTGCGCTAAAAAAAAGACAACTATATTAACCTATATCAACGGAAATAGTTTTATTTTAATGAGTAGGCCTACACGATGCTCAGTTTAAAAAAGTAGTAAATATCATCCTAGGCCTACACGATGCTCAGTTTAAAATATATTTTAAAAATTTTTGTGACCGAACGAAAGGATATTTTTGAAAACTTTCTTCGGCAATATTGTTCTAAATTATGGCAGGAATCGATTGGTAAATGTTTCAAGTCGCTAAGTGGTCTGGTTGCCGAGATATGGGCAAAAAACTGCATGTTTTCGAGGTTTTTTGACTTTTCCGGGAAATCCATGAAGGAATTTCGGGAATTTTTTTGGCCCACAATCATCCTCGGATCTTGCTTAACATATTTGCTTTGCAACTAGTCCTCGATATTGCTTCGTTGAGGAGGAGATACGACTTAAAGCTGCGGACACACATCCATCCATCCAGAAATGGCGAATTATTAAACGTAATTGCCAGTATGGAAATTGCGCTAAAAAATTACGACCGAATATTCATTATTTGCTGTATCGGTTTAAATCTGTTCGATAAAACAGAGAATTTAACAACTTTTTAAAGATCGGCAATTTTATTCAAGTTTTTCTAACTCATGAGTTCTGTTATATAGAAGGAGTCACATAATATCCGGCCTTACCCTACGTGTCCGTACAACAATTTGTTGCACGTCAATAAAATTGTAATTACCAGACCAGGCGACCAATAGGGCAGATGAAGTAGAGTTTATGGGTTTCGTTGTCTCCGGTAACATTGTGGCGTAATGTGATAAATTCTTAGCCATTTTTACCTAATAGATGTTGTGTACCCATCGGGCTGAATGAACTCAGGGACTCCCGAGAATTCGGGTCCGAAATCCAAACTCCAGACACCCCCCCCCCCCCCTGCGAGTATTATTGAATCAGAAAATCATTTTAATGGAACAAGAAAATAATCTCTCGCTTTTTAATGATTCAAATTTAAATTGTGGGTGTTAAATTAGCAATAGTTTAAAGTTAATTATTGGTCAGTTTTGTAGTATGACAGAATTCCGCTGTAATTTAGACCAGCGCTACTGTAAACATTCGATGACATCCGCTCCAGGCACGTGATGACTTCCAATTTGAATTGCGAAACTGTATCGATCTTTGTTGTAATCGGCTACATAGTTTATGTCATGTTTAAAATACTTATTCAATTTTTTTCTATGGATTTTATAATTATAAGAAGATAATAGGCTACTATGGAACCGGTTAGGCTTAGCATTTCTAACTATGCACTAACAATAGGAATGATTAAATACATTCGTAGCCAGTGGCGTAGCGAGGTCGGGTGTCACCCGGTGCGGCACTAAATGGTATCGCCCCTCAGAGGCGTAGCGACCCTTCCCGGGGACAAACTTTCAATTTTCGATTTACAACCCCCCCCCCCCCAAACTTTCGATTTGCACCCCGCCCCTTCAAATTTTTCTCTATATGTTTTGCTATTTTTTGCCTTGGTGTCACCCCCCTAAATGTTGTCACCCGGTGCGTTCCGCACCCCGCCCCCCCCCCCTTGCTACAACTCTGTTCGTAGCTTGGTTATATTAGTGAAGACACGTAGTGATGTGACTGTCATTATTTAATTAATTTCTTAATTTTTTGTTACCTTGGGTGAATGAGAATGATCTACATGTCTGGAAGATTTGAAGTTTTGGAAATACAGTACTATACAAGTACAGTATCTCTTGATACAAGTATAGTGTCTCTTGATACAACTACAGCATCTCTTGCTACAAGTACAGTATCTCTTGGTACAAGAACAGTATCTCTTGATACAAGTATAATATCTCTTGATACAAGTACAGTATCTCTTGATACAAGTATAGTATCTCTTGCTACAAGTACAGTATTTCTTGATACAAATACAGTATCTCTTGATACAAGTACAGTATCTCTTGATACAAGTATAGTATCTCTTGATACAAGTATAGTATCTCTTGATACAAGTACAGTATCTCTTGATAAAAGTACAGTATCTCTTGATACAAGTATAGTATCTCTTGATACAAGTACAGTATCTCTTGATACAAGTATAGTATCTCTTGCTACAAGTACAGTATCTCTTGATACAAGTACAGTATCTCTTGCCACAAGTATAGCAACTCTTGCTACAAGTACAGTATCTCTTGATACAAGTACAGTATCTTTTGAAACAAGTACAGTATCTCTTGATACAAGTACAGTATCTCTTGATACAAGTACAGTATCTCTTGCTACAAGTATAGTATCTCTTGCTACAAGTACAGTATCTCTTGATACAAGTATAAAATCTCTTGATACAAGTACAGTATCTCTTGATACAAGTACAGTATCTCTTGATACAAATACAGTATCTCTTGATACAAGTATAGTATCTCTTGATACAAGTACAGTATCTCTTGATACAAGTACAGTATCTCTTGCTACAAGTATAGTATCTCTTGCTACAAGTACAGTATCTTTTGATACAAGTATAGTATCTTTTGATACAAGTACAGTATCTCTTGATACAAGTATAGTATCTCTTGATACACGTACAGTATCTCTTGATACACGTACAGTATCTCTTGATACAAGTACAGTATCTCTTGATACAAGTACAGTATCTCTTGATACAAGTATAGTATCTCTTGATACAAGTACAGTATCTCTTGATACAAGTACAGTA